CCACCGTTGAGCAAACTCCTCTGGAATGGGACATGTGTTCTAGTTCCACTTAGATTTGTAGTGACTTATTGCATGCTATGTGACCTCTAAAATAACTTTCAGGGGCCAGGAGCTGTAGAAGTTAGCGTTTTTAGCCTCCCAGACGAATCTCGCACCAATTCACGTTCCCCCGGAGGTAGGAGGGCTAGTTGGCCTGCGTGGGAGCTAAACCCAGACGCTGGTAGATGCTAAATGGATATCCATACTTTCCTACTTCCTCGAGACGCTGATAGTCGCTGGTGGACGCTGCGAGACGCTGTCGTTTGCTAGATCGATATGTACCTTTTTCTACTTGCTGACGCTAACGGACGCTCGAAACGCTGGTAGACGCTGCTGCAAAGTATGAATGCAACCTAATGGCATCGACGTAAATGGCCGCTTTGATGTAGCACGTCAACCCCGTTTTCGTCTAATCATGCTTTACACTAGCACGTGACATTATCCGCTATTTTCCTTGCCCTATAGGAAGTCATGTTCTCATTTTAGTTCGTATGGTATTTGATGAAGATGAAGCCCCATACTGAAAGCATTGTGAATGCAGTATCTTCACAAATTCCTTTCAATGCTGGTAAGTTTCACGAAACGTTGCCATGGCTATACAGGGGGTAGTTAAAAAAACAACACTTTGGCTGAGCATATCAGAAAATTTGCGCAGCCCAGATAGAAGACGTGGATACGAGTACCAGGGCGGAAGATACCCAAGATGTTCCTCGATAAGCAGGAGCAGGCTCTCGCCCATCACCTTCATGTACACCAAAATATGAAGCCATCTCCAATCGCAGCCGGACTGGAGAAGGCCTATGGAATTCACGTCACCTCCAAACAGCTGCGAAACTTCTTGTATGGAGTCACCCATGGACAGCTACCTGGAGACCAGCACTCTTGATTTGGAAGAATTCCAATCGAGCAGCGGTATGGACCGGAAGCTCTTGGAATATGAAGAGCGATATTGCTTCGTGAACTCCATACTGCAAGAGAACGCTGATGGTTACATCAACCAACGAGGAGAATATCCTGCCTTCATGTCGTCGCCTGTACCTTCTTGGAAACTTCGTACTGCTACAGGATTGGGTGCCAGCACATGGAATCGAAGGGCGTTGGAAACTTCTCTACTCGGAATCCGAAGGCGTTGAGAACCAAAGAAGACACAATATTCAACTTACTGAACTAAACCCATCAATCACCGGGTCCTTGAGGACCTCAACAGTGTGGTCTACAGTGGTGGGAAAATCAACGACCCCGCTGAACTCAGGCACCGAATCACGGTCGCGCGTCAGAATCTCTCGATGGCGTTCGTCCAGCAGGCTGTGGCGGAGGCGGTTGATTATCCGGCCCAAGTGACGCGACGCGGCTGCAGCGCGTCACGATCGCTGCGATCAGCTGTTTCCACCCTAATTTAGCAATTTTCTCCCTAGTTTTCACTGTTTTTGGCTGTTTTTTCAAGGTCATTTGCTTTATTGCCTATATGAAGTATATCGGAGACGTGAATTCTTTTTTGTCCTTGTAATCTGTTTAATTGTCCAATTGTTCGCACAAGTTAAAAAAAACTCAATCATAATTTATCTTGTGAAGACAAGGAACAGTTAACCTTGAAAAAAACAGCCAAAAACAGTGAAAAGTAGGAAATGACTAAACCAGGCCGAGAATGCGAGCTGATCGCCGCACACAGTTCCTACGTACGCGGTCGCTGCTGCAGCCGCGTCTGCGGCCCCTTGACGACCGCCCTAATCAACTGCCCGGATGACGAGTGTACGTTACCTGCGATGTCTGCCGTTTTCTTTTCTGATCCCCCTCCCTTTGGCGTTAAAATCAACCGCTAGTTCGTTCTGAATGCTGCGAGTTTCCGCATCCTCGCTGAGCTGCAGACAAAATGCAATGTAAGCATAGCGCCATGCATCCTCCAATGCATGGCGCATGCTTCACATTGCCTGGAAGATGGGAAATCAAGTTGCATTGTAACCACCCACAAAAGACGTTATTCGAAGTTTCCAGGCCCAATCGTTGGGGTTCACATACGCCGCGGTGACAAGCTAGAAAAGGAAGCGAAATATCATAAGATAGAAGAGTATATGGCATGGAGTGACATCTATTTTCAGGTAAGGTTGAATTCAGCTGTCTCTATCAGCATCTACTTTGCGCGCGTAAAATCGATATCGACTCTCACACAGCGCTAATGTTTTATTGTGTAAAACAACTTCTGCTTTCATCCAGTATATAGTCGGACTCTGAGGCGCTGTTTGGCTTGGGAAGGGCATTTTGCACTTTCGCTAGTTCTTCCAGCGAGTTTATGTTGGGTCTCATTGTGGCGGGACATGTAGGGACGTGTGAAGCTACGAGTGAGCCACCTCACAGGAACTTACTTGGTGCCCCTCCCAGGCCGAAGTGTGCCGCTCTCTACGTTCCCGGCAGCTTTTCTTCTTCCACGTGTTGCAGATTCAAGACCGCATCCTGAAACGTAATGTGACTCGTCGAGTTTACGTTGCATCCGATGATCCGACAGTCCTACCGGATGTCCGGTTGATGTCAGCGGTCTTTTGATCTGAATTTCCGATCTGAAAAATGCCGCCCCAGCCTAATCTTATTCAGGTACCCGAATTATGAAGTGTATGGTAATGTTCACTTTGCTGAAGCCGCTAAAAAACGTTACACTGAGCGATCGCTTCGCGGACTTTTGAGTGATGTGATGATGCTCAGCAGATGTAATTATCTCGTTTGCACATTCTCTAGCCATGTAAGATCGTCATACTCAAGAACTCACATATTATTTTATAATTATATTTAATTTATGTTTTGCCTTTTATCGATTACTTGAAGCTCTGCCGACTTGCTTATGAGCTGATGCAAGTTCGACATGGTGATGCCGGCGAAAGCTTCCATTCTCTGGATGATAGCTACTATTTTGGCGGACAGCTACGTATGTTACTGCTAACCCTTACTATTTTACTGGGTTGGTCAAGAAGTCCTGCGACACTCCAGACAAAATGCTCTAATTGCCTGCGGGGTGAATGGGTCACAGCATGAACAGGTCTAAAATGCCTGGGAACGGAGCTGGAGGGTAGTGAGGCACTGATGCCCGAGTGCTGGCTCCATACTCCGCCCGTCCTTGCCGTACGGCCAGCCAGACGCCAAACCATGGCCAAACGCGCTACTCGTCTGCGCTCGCTCACTCATTCTAGAGTATGATTCTCTGTAGGACTACTCCGTCGTAGTAGAGGCAGCTAGCACCTTGCTTGTCTTCAATAAGTTCGCAGAGTGGGCTGACCCAGATGCGCCAATCTGACAAGGAAAATAAATTGGTCGTGGGTAAGTTTCTTGCACTTCATCCACAGTGAAATCCTTTTTGGAGGGCAGAGCTGGCGCCCTCACATGAGCCATACACCTAAGCCTGTGCAGGATCCCTCACAGAGAGAGCCAAAAGGCTGACTTGCAGAGCCAAAAGCTGATAAGCATGGGAAATAGGTTTCACTACGCTACTGGTATGATCTCTCAATCCCATTGGATGACCGGCGTCATCGCTGATACGAAACGGTCCAGCTCCTTCTTCTATATTTCAACGGTGACAAAAATGACTTTTCGAGGGAGTAATGACCGCTGCCTTCTTACTAACGTGATTCAGTAGCCCCCGGACCTCCCTTCCCCCTCCACTTTTTCCTCCTAATTTATCCCTTAGAGAACGAAAAACTCGATAGGCGACGTACCTGGAAAAAGCGATCAACGACTTCTTCCCATCGCAGTCGCCCTAGTTGTAGAATAGTGGGATCGAGAGGCTGCCCAAAAGATGAGCACTTGTCCTATTTGTTAGGGGTGACCCTAGGACCGAAGGGGGTCATGCGAAAGAAAATTCAGACTGAAATTCACGTCAAAGTGTCGCAGGACATCTTGATTAACCCGATAAGTTCAGCATTTCTAAGTACAGTCCAAGCTGTTGAGCGAAGTCAGGCCTACCATTGCGGATTCCCCATTGACATACCCACCCTTCACATCACCCTAGAAATGTGGACATCTATGAGAACACCTATGGTGTAGGCCTGGCACCGCCCATACGATTGATATGAACACTGCACAAGTATTAACCGACTTCCTTTCATCAATATTTATAGCACATTATCTCATTTAAGCTCTCACCTTATATTTTCATTAGTTTGCTGAAAATGTCACTTTCAGAAAACGACTATATCGCTATCGAAAGTCACACAGCACAGGACGACACTGAAATCAACCTAAGAATAGGGGATTTAATAAGCCATAAGAAAAATCACCATGATGGATATGCGATGGGTTTCAATAAAAGAACGGGAAAAAGAGGGAAGTTCCCTCGTTTCAAGGTAAAATTAGTTTGCGAGATGTTTACTTCAGAGGATTCTATTTTTCACGCTACTATACCTAAGGGCGCTACGAAAGGGGAACCCGTCAGAAGTTTGAGTCCACAGGAAGCGATGGGCGGGGACCCATACCCGTTGCGCCCTATTTAGTAGCAGGTCCATACAGTTCTCCATTCTAGAACAAGTGGAGCGTCAGTGGGAATAGCACAAAGGCCGATCGCCTCTGCTCAGTTCTCCACTCATTTCGTTATCAAGGAAGCTGCCTTTAGAGACGGATCTGCAGTCCACTGTATTGACTCCAGGCCTAAAAAGCTCCCTGCTCGAAGAAGTCTTGCACTAACCTCCGTGGATCCTAGTCCTTGCCGTACATGGGGAGAATGCGTCTGCAGCTGCAGTAACTTGCCACTTTCTGCAGTCACAAGTGCACGGGACATGGCTTAAGGGCACTGATGACTGGATGCTGTTTCCATAGCCCGTTCTCGCTGCAGCGCGGCTAGTCAGGCGCTCAGCTATAGGCAGATGCGCTACTTTTCTGAGCTCTCTCACGTCCGAGCGTGAAACTTCCTACAGCTGAGTGCGTGTTTCGCTGCGAGATTTTAGACGTATGGACGCAAGTGCTGCACCTTGACGGCGCAATTCGGCGAGGCCCCCCGGGTGACATTCTTTCTGCTTCATTACTTTCGGTTTACAAGTCTCACTCTAGTGAGACCTGTAACTCTTGTGAAGCTGGAGCAAGCTGTGCCTCCATGGAACCATGGTAGAGCCTGTCAGCTCCTGTGAGCTCATGAAAGCTCTCTCTAGGCTGCACACGTCCATAAGGAGTAGCAAGAATGCAAAATGCTCTCCCTCCCCGTCGCCAAAATGAGCCCACCTTGAAGATAGTGCGGCGTAGTACGGTGACAGCATTCGGGTACCGCTGCCTTACAGACCTACTGTCGTACACATTTGGACGAGATAGTGGCACACTTCTGCAGCTATAGACCTATCCGTCTCGCACTTGACAAGCCCGTCTTTGGAGGTGAGTATACAGGTGAGTATACAGTTTGCCTGTGCCTGCGAGCGCAGCCAAATGTATACTGAATTAGGTACGAATCAGGAAAGAGCTTGATGATGGCTACAAAGAGGAGGTAGGAGTGGCAAGTAAGCGCTTATCATGTCCGCAGTATACGGGGGTCAGCTCATGGATCGTTTTCCACCTGCATCAAGAGCCTTCTAGCCTCTGGGGACGGCATTCGATACCAGAATGTCGGCAAGATGAAAACGCTGCCTTGCACATTGACTGCCCCTAGCCAATTCTTTGTATAGGTTCGATAAGCCACTACGTTTCTAAGAGAAGCAGAGCGCGTGCCGCATCCCAAAAAGGGATTGATCAAGGGCAAAAGCTTCATCTTTTATCCCTTTAATGTCGACAACATACATGATGCAACCACGTGTATTTATTGATCTTCAAAAAAACATTCATAAACAATAAGATGAAGAGAAGACAGTTCCGTTATTTCAGGTTGAAGAACAATGGCGGATTGTTGATTAAACGAATGAATTAGACAGAAAAAATCGAGCAGTTATTCTTCTTAGCCGTTTCTAATCTACAAACGATTCCGTGGTTATTGTTTCAGAAAAGATAAAGACTCGTGAAAATCATTATTTTTACCTCATCCTCTGATGGGCCAAAAATAGACGGGGAAGAGACTCATCGCTTAGCTGTCGCACCGCACAGCTTCCTCGCAGCAGACGCTAAGGCGTGCGAGGGGCAGGATACGGTGTGGCCCCTTTCCCACCAGCCTGTCGCTTACCAGCTTCCAGTACTGGTGGAGAACGAGCTGGAGAACCTAGCCCCCCGCCCCGAGAGCACCCGCAAATAGGACAGTACCTGGTGCACTCACACCTTGATCTATTTTAGAATTCCCTTTTAGTTCCTACTGCTATGCGACCCTTCTGTGATGAGCCCCTTAGTCCAGTTGCCTTTCTTGGAAAGCAATGTGACGACATGACGCTAGGCGCACGCTCCTCCCCGTCTATTCAACCGAGACTTCACATACTGGAAAGAACACAGTACAATAAAAAAAGTTCCAACGTTGCCTAATTATCAAAGAGATCGGCAATGAAAAGACTTAGGTCAAGGTGAAGGGCGCAGTTCGGCTTGGTGAGGCACTAATGGTACTCGGCGAAGCTTGGTGCAGGCCACTTGGTGAAGACCTAAAAATTTCCTTGACTACAGTGGCTGTACTGCACAGCAGCTTCACAGGAGTCTTCAGATCACCCCAAAATGAGACCTGTTAGCTAATTGAGCTAGCAAGAGTGCAAAATCCACCTCCCAAGCCGAAGAGCACCGACTGAAGCAGGATAGCAAAGTGAACTATCAGGAAGATCTTCCGGTTACTTGATGAAGTTGTACGGGCAGGCACTGCGTTTGTTTGTTTCTGATGATAGCCGAACCAATGCGGTGCTCGCCTGAATTCGATATTCATCAGTAAGTTTTCTTCAGAAATTCCCTAAACACCACTCTAGTCACATCAACTGAATACGAGAGAAACTTCGAAAGAAGTAGATACATTTTATACCAAATTGGGAAAATTCTGAAAAAAAATGAGCAGTCGTCGAGACGGAGGTAATTGGATGAAAAAAAGACGCCGTCTACCACCGTAGAAATGGCCCAATGATCAAGAGCACTGCCTGCCAACCAGGCCCCTCACTCCACCGGAATCGATGATGGCGGATAAAGGAGAATAGAAGCCCCAACGTGCACACTGGCTGGGCTCGGGAAGTTACTGTTTAGGTCAAGTGCGCATAGGACTTTTCTATAACTTGGAATGGTAGTGAAGTGTGTAGCAGGTCGTGGAATAGCATCAGTAAACGCCAAGAGCTTTATTTGTTACCCATAGAGACGGAAATGATGCTCTGGAAACAAGCCTTGGTAGTGAATGGTCAATCCTCCAACTGAATTTAAATCCCGTGGCAGGGTGTTTAATAACCAGGCTCATCGGCTACAGATGGAAGGTCCACGCTGCGGCGACTAGTGATAGGTGGCAACCTTCGCGCGACATTTGCACCAAGATCTACTTGACCAAGCATAGAAAAGCTAGGTATATCGAGTCTAGTTGTAGAAAGTATAGTACAGTGGACTTCATTTATGTTTTCCTCCTAAAGCGGCCATTATTGGTAGAAAACGCAGCCGCGGATGAGCTCATTCCACGCCTACTGACACCATCCCCCCCAAGGTTGCGACGACATC